CTAATACATTCTTGAAGGTTTCTCCATTAATAGGGGAAACAGTCCCATGGGAAGTACTTATGACGGCAGTCTACAAGCTACCTGTTCTATGCTTGTTTTTGAAAATAAAGTTTTCTTGGAACTCAGCCATACCCATTTGCTGACATAGTGTCTGTGGCTGCTTTTGTGTTACAACAGCAGAGTTAGTAGTCATGAAAGAGACCTTATAGTCTACAAAGCTTAAAACATTAACTATCTGGCCCTTTGCAGAAAGTTTGCCAATCCCTGACTTGAGGCCAATGAAGCACAATTAAAAATTGAACTTCATTAATTGCTAGACTAATAACTGTTAAATACTTACTTGATGATTACTTAGTGTTGCCCTGAAGACTTTATACCTCAAGCCACCTCTCTACTTATATTTATCATAAGAATGATAAATACAAGTAGCAATAGCTACTTTTATTGAGCACTTACTATGTGCCAGGCAATATTTAAACATGCATATACATACACACATACTTCATGTATCCTTACAACAACACTATGAGAAAAGTATTAAATACGCCAGTTAAGGTTTATATGATTCCAAAGCCCAAATTCATAGTATATGGCCCCTCCATTTCTTAGTATTACTTCCATGAATATCATATTTTATTCAAACTGAACTCTTTCTTATTCCGCCAATGTGCCTAACTCTTTTCCATCCCTCTACCATTTTCTCAACCCTTTTCCAACTCTCAGAATACACTTGCCACCCAATTCCTCATGTCTACATTTTTCTAATCTGTCAGATACCTCCTTAATCACCACATCTTCCATGATACCTTTCCTGAATCCTCAGCCAGAGGTAAATCTCAGTCCTATTTGTCAGCTGCATAGCCACTAACATGGTCCCTGGTGCACTTTAACTGCTTAGTACATGCTAGAGAATGATGTTAAAATTCTATACTGCAACATTGCACATGAATTATTTTATATTCATAGGATACTTTCCTTCTAAAAGCTCAAGTAAACTAGAAGTGTTTTTTCCCTAAGCTTATTATTATAGCAGAAACACAATCATAATGCATAGCAAGGGAATCTGACTAGACGATCAGTTTCTTATTTCAATCTGAAATATTCAGTAATTTTCTCTAAGCAGTTTTCACACACCTCATTCATTTTCATTGGCAATGTTTTGTAGTTGCAGGTGTGAAATATAGGTTGATCATGTAAAACTGTCTTGGACATAAGCTGTCGTTTGACAAAGTCCACTGGACAAATGGCATTTTTAATAAATTATATAATAAAGGTTATTTTTGGAATAAATCAATTTCCTAAGACTCTTACGGACATTCTAGAATATGCTTTTCATTTGGATTTTCTCTGAAAGGACGATGGAATTATAAAAGCCGTATCACCTTTCTCCATGTAATGAGGGGCCTTGTGATGGTTTTCATTGACACACAGGTTTTGCTTTTATTCACTTTATTTCACTTAGCATTTTTAAAGGATTGCACTGAACTAAGAGCTACGGCGGGGATAAGGGAAATGCAAGTCTCTGAAAAAATATAACCTAGTCTGGAAGAGATAATGAGCAATGCAAGGTAGTATAAAATCAAATTATCAGGGTAAGCAGATCATAGATTCTGAAAATGGAGGCACTTACAGTCTTTTCTAAATAATATGGTACTTGATTACCCAGTGTCCTGTCCTGTGTATTAAATCACTTATTAAAACAACATCAGTAAGCTTTTCTCTTACAGCCTGCATGGAGTGCCCAGCAGTTTTTCTGGTCTTGATGCAACGACAGTTAACAGGGCCGTCCCTGGCTGTGCACCGTTTCTCACAGGATCGTCCCTTATTCCTGGAATGAAATTCTGTCTCCACCAATTTGTTTTAATAGCTAAAAGATACTGGCCTCGAATTACTCAAGAGTCATTATTCTAGATATATTATGTACAAAGCATTACTAATTATTTTCTTGCCTTTCCCTCTGGATTTTTTTTTTCCTCTTCCACATTTTATTTAATTCTGATATTTGGTTTGATAGGGAAAATGGAACACAAATTATTAAATGTATATGCTCTGCCTGATAGCATGCTAGTTATTTCTTATGTGTGGTCTCTCGTTTTATCTGCACACATAAACCCTATCATAATAGTTATTAAGCATTCCCATTTTTAAAGTTAATAAAACTGGAATTCAGACAGGTAAAATATTAATAAATTGGTTAACATTGAACAGGCAATTTTTCCACAGATTTCAGCATCTGGTATTAGAATATAAGTTCAGATGCTTTTTGAAGTAACATTTACTAAAAGACAGAATTATAGTTAATGTTGTATATCTTATTCTAAGCAAAAGTTCAATAATATGTAACAAAGAATTGAAGATGACATAGATAATGGAGCAGATTCATGAAGAATTCAGATATTGGAATTATCAGACTCAGATTTAAAACACAAAACAACCGTACTTGACAGTTTCCAATAAATAAAAGTTAGGGAACTGAAAAATGCCAAATGGTGACAGTATATTTGAAAAAGAATCCAATAGAAATGTTAGAACTGAAAAGTATAATTGAAATTAAGAAAATGGCTTGATAGCAGACTAGACACAGCTGAAGAAAGAACCAATAAACTGGAAAATGAATATAAGAAACTACTCAGAATGCAAAAGCAGAGAGACAGCAATGAAAAGTACAAAAGAGAGGATAAAAGATAAATGATAAGGAAAATAAAGTCTAACACCATTTCATTGGAGCCCAATACACAGTAGCTGTTTTATTACTATGTCGCTTTCTGCTTAAATATCTTCAATATTTCACATTGCTTACAGAATTAATTATAAACTTTTTATACTAATATGCTTCCTACTAATCTAAAGTTATCCCCAACTCCTTCCTAATATAAAACAACAGCTTCTTCTACACTCTCTTTCTATCTTCATGCCCTTATGTTTTATGTTCTATTCCAGCTTTTTTGCCTGAAAACTGAAGCCTTTCACAACCATCTTCCTCTTCAGCCCCGGTTCTCTTCCTGCTGTTTCATGGTGCTTCATTTATCTGTTATCAAGTCTCAAGTTATATTGCATTATAAATGGCATCTTTGATGCCACATTTGATTGTATGCTTCTCCAGGGAAGAGATTTAAAAAAAAAATTTTAACAGGAGTTCATTTTTAGAGCAGTTTTAGGTTCACAGCAAAATTGAGTAGAAATACAGAGAGTTATATACCCTTTGCCCCCACATGGGCATAGCCTCCCTTTCCTAAACATCTCCCCACCCAAGTGGTACGTTTGTTACAATCGATGAACCTGCACTGACACATCATTACCACCCAAAGTCCATAGTTTACATTAGAGCTCACTCTTGGTGTTGTGTTTACTATGGGTTTGGGACAAATGAGAATGATATGTATCCACCATGATAGTATCATACAAAATAGTTTTACTGTCCTAAAAATCCTCTGTGCTTTACCTATTTATCCCTCCTTACCCCATTCCCTCAGCTAGAGAGTCATTTTAATTTATCCTTAGAACATGACATAATACCTGACACATACTTGCCCCCAAATAAATGTTTTTAGATGTATGGTTGAATGAATAAGAGGAGGAAGGGACAAACTGGACACAAGTGTCTTTGTCACTGCCTGCTGACTAACATTGTGTCTTGGTTTCCATAGTTACTCCTCCTGTTCTAGTCTATTCAAAGACCACCCACAAACTACTGTCTTCCATACCCCTGACTATTATTGTGGTGCTAATTCAAATCCCACCTTATCCATTATACCCAAGTCAAGGATGAGCTCTGGCTGCTTTTAAGACTTATTTTATGAATGATCTATTTAGTTCCATGTGTCACATTTATATTTTTTTATTTCACAAGCCTATGTCTGGGTTCCCCAGGAGATTGAATTATATTTTTATGTGATGGGTAGAGTTTTCACCCCCTTGCTTTTAATGAGCAAGAGGTACCTTCATAAATTATTGCTTTTTACTTGGAATTATAGATAATGGCCATGGAACAGAGAAACTTACTGGTCTATAAAAAATTCACAGTCTGTCTCTCTTACATCACTTCGGCTGTCTAGGACAGAAAATTATTGGGAACTAATTAAAAATATAATAGGGAAGTAAATTTTTTTGCAGATTTGAGCTTCCAAAAGTTTCCATAAAAGCCATAGAGGATTGCCAAATTGTTGTTAAAATAATATAACTTTCTTTGTGGTAACAGAAGTTACTTATACAACATTTACCATCCTTTTCCAAGTATTTTTAACATCCCCAAACTGTATATTTGATGTTATTTTATTTTGCTATAAAGTTAAGAACAAAATGTTACACATGTTGCTGATTTTCAAGTCACTATTTTCTCCCCGCACCCAAATAGTCAACATAAGGGAAGATTCATTTGGATTTTTGAAATTTTGTTCATTTAGTTTTGACCATAAAGGAGGATATGTTTATCTGGGGGTAATAATTTTATATCTACGTTATAAAACCATTTTGCACAAATGTCATTTTTTCATCAAGGTTAATTCACTGGGATTCTTGCTTCTCTATAGCTTGAGGGATTTCTGGGAAAAGTGCCTTGAGGAGGCTTGAATTTGGGTTTGATGAATCAGGGAGCTATAAACCTTCTACTTTAACAAAGATCAATACCCATTTAAAAGGTTATGGAGACAACTTAGCCCAGTCATATAAAAAATCATGTTCTTTTCAGTTAAGGTAAGGTTTTAGTCATTCATATAATAAATAGTGGCAGCCTTAACAGCCCTGCTGGATAATCATTATGAATTGAATAGTAATACCCTTCCTTCTTGGAATAATACTACAGGGGGTGATACCATTCTAAAAGAAAACACATTCAATAAACATTATCCTTAAAATATACTGCTGAGTATATTCCTCATTATGATCTTGTAATTGATACCAGTTTTAAGGTGAAAAATCAATTCATGTTCATGAAAGTAATTTCAAGTTTTAAAAGGTAAACTGAGTGATTAGGTTCATGGCAGTTCTATTTTTATTCACAGATAATACCTCTGAGGTAGCAATTACTGCTCCAGGGACTAGTAACCATAGAAACAGCTCGACAGGCCCAACACCTGACTGCTCACCTCCATCCCCCGACACTGCCCTCAAAAATATTGTAAAAGTTATTCGACCCCAGGTAAGTGCACAGAATGACATTATCTGCACTAGACTGTATTTTGTTTTTGAAACAGCGCATGCGCAACTTCTATTGCAACGGCTGGCCTATTTTGTGATATGTGAATTGATTTTTAGGTTTAAAAAAACGAACTTGGAAGAGGGTGTGTTCTCCCTTGGAGTTGATGATGGACATTGAAACCTGTATTAGCTTTTGGACAAATGAATTTGTATTTTACATGAAAAAACAAGTGAAGCTTAGAAAAAGGGCTATTTCACGTCATCTTCCTTTCACAACATTCTAATAAGTACACTCCAATTATTGAGCCGTTAACATGTTTTCTGGCGTTGCCTGCACCTTTTGTCTTCGTTGCCCTGGACATGCTGCGTTATTCGTGATCACTTCTCTGTCTTCCAACCCCAGTTGTCTTTATGTATTTTCTCTAAATTCTCTTCCTTATGGTTTCGAGCTAATTTTGCCTGTACATCTCATCGCTCCTTATTTTCCTGTAGTGCTCACTGCCCTCTAGCCTGTCTTTCCCCTTTGTTCTTTTCTTCCATTCCTGGAATTTGTCTATATGGGTTTCTTTTCTCTCTTCTCTTTCAGTTGGATTCCCCAGTAGGCGGTTTGCAGGCAAGCTTTAGAAATATCATTGGGACAAGCTGTTCTGTGATATTTCATTGAAAATAGCACTTATAAAGCTGTTTGCATTATATTTTTGCCAACAGATGAACTCAGAACATGGAATTGGTGGTGTTCTCAACCTGGCTCATTCTGAATGGGCCTCATAAAATCCAAAAGGGGGGACTTTGGATCCAATCAATGCCATTCACCATTGCCTTAGTTATATAGTCTGAACAAATCCTTTGAGCTAACTCGTAGGACCAATGTGCCTTTTAAGATTGTTTTGGTTTGAATGAGCAATGCATTGCTTAATGTCTTATTTGCTTTAATATAACTTCTTTGGGATTATTTTCATTATAATCATCATCCTCATAGATAAAATGTCATGCAAACTTTACATATCCACTGCAGTTTATAGAACACTTTCATATAAATAGTTTCATTGAAACTTCATCATTTCCAAGAGAATGGATTTTCTAGTGTTATAGATAAGGATGTTGGCACTTCAAAGAGGACAAGTGGTACAACTGATTTTTTGAAGTCCCTTTCCCTTTCTTTAGTAAAATTGTCTCCTCCAGTCCTGCTCAGAGGTTGGAAAAATCCTCATGAGCTTGTACAACTTGACATATTTTTATGAGGAACTTTCCGGTTCAGGGTCAGTTAGGCACAGGTAACATTTTACACAGTGTCCCAATATGCAGAGGAGGAAAAGGTCTTAAAAGATTTTTTTTTCCTTCTCTAGGGAAATTTGAGCTAGTTCATTTGCTTCAAGAAATAACCTCATTAACCCCAGATTGAGATGCTAAATGCCACATTTATTGTCATTGGTTCTTTCATTATAAGAAGCTGTTTCTGGTGTAATTGTGCAGCTATTACATTTCCAGCATTTTAAAAATTTTAGGTGGGAGCTTGTTCCATAATAAGTTAATAAAATTCATTACTAACCATGTTTACTTTAATACCAATGTAAATTCTTTAATGTAAATGCATTTGATCATTCAATGAATGAAAGATTCCTTTCTGCATATCTGTAATCTAAGCAACACTAAGGAAACTCACCCCATAAATCCTTCTTTATGTATTCCATTTTCTTTCAGATTAGTTTATTTTGGTAAAGTTTGAAGAAAACTAGAGGTTGTAGTAAAGCCAGAAATTCCATGTTGACTCGATTCCTTGGTTCTGTCCGTTATTAAATGCTTGCGAAGGTAACTAACTCCACCTTCCTTTCTTAGATGTTATACTGATGATTTAAGAAGGAACAAAATAAAGAAAGTCAGGAAACTAAGAATTATGATATTTAAATTAGAACCAATGTAGCCTGTAGGTATATATGTGATAGAATAATAACAGCTAAGGCATATAATTAGGAAACAATTTAACCTCAGTTGGGCTACCTTTCTTTTCACCTCGGAGACTTTGGTGCATTACTAATTTCTCCTTATGAGTTCTGATCCCCTGGGGCTCCTCATTTATTGTAGAGAGTGGGGAATAAAAAATTCAAGCGGAAGTAATTATGAGGGAGTATTAGGGTAGGACATGATTTCACGAAAAGGTTTGGAGACTAAAGTATGTAGATGGGAGACGGATGGGTACAGCATGGGACTCCCTGATGTGTTCTGACAAGTCACAGGTGTGTCAAGGATGGAGCCTTGTCAAGAGCTAACTGTTCCAAAGAAAACATAATTATTGGTTAGCTTATATTTTGATCACAGGTTTAATCTGCTAACATGTTTGCTAACTCTGACTTTCTGTCTGGAAATGCAAGAAATATGAAGTTAGATTGACTTGTGGGTATTAAAACACCTTTTAAATTTACTAATTAGAAATTAATAGCATGGTTGAAATGATCATTTGACTCTTAAAACTGGTGATGAGCCTTGACAATAAGAGTATAAATGCTACCTGTATTCATGAATTTACATTTCTTTGCCTGGGCATTGGCACAGCTGTCTTACTGTGAGAATGACAGAGTTAAAACAGAACTTTCGTCTCATTCACTGCAAATAGATAGGTTACTTCCCCTTTGTTTATGTAGCTATTATCTGGTCTACTTTCCATAGCTCTGCCTGTATATGGAGAATATTCATTGTAACCAAAGAGTCCTTGCTTTCAATATGAGGCAGGGCGGTTATACATTGCATGTGTTTCTGATTACTGTGTAAATTACTTGGAAGCTGCAAATTTTGCAGTATTTTGTTGAGTTTGATTTTATTCGGCATATTTATTAACTCACTAAGTACAGCTGTTAGTTCTACATCATGTGTTTGACCTTTTACCTTGACTTCTTTGGGCTCTTCCATGTCTTAAAATTCTCCAGATTGTGAAACATTCTATTTTCTTTTTTTTCTTTTTCTTTTTTTATTATTAATTTCAGGTGTACAGAACAATGCAATAGTTATCCTTTACACCCCTCACAAAGTAACAATCCCCTCTCCCCATCCACTACCCTCCCACCCCTGATATCATACTTACCTATTACAATTCCATTGACTCCATTCCCACACTCTACTCCACATCCCGTGACTATATGTATATATAATTATAGTTGACATACAATGTTATTCAACATCAGCTTCAGAAATACAGCACAGTGGTCAGTCTTCTACATCATCTATGAAGTGGTCTCCCTAACAAGACATGAGTCCATCTGGCCCCCTAAAAAATATTTACAACATTAATGATTATATTCCCCAGGCTGTCTTTTCTATCCCTGAGGCCATATTGTAGTTACCAATTTGCATTGTCTCGTCCCTTCCCCTTCTCCTTCATCCCCACCCCCTCCCAACTGGCAACCCTCAGTTTTTCCTCTGTGTCTCTGAGATTAGAAAATTCTATTTTCAATTCATAGGGACTGAAATATTTATATACTACTGGTTCCTCTTTTTTTTCCCATGTATATTGACCCACAAGCCTGTTTCCCTATTAGGATGAATTCTCAAGGCTGGGTTCATTTACTTATACTTGACAATAAAATTATTTTTAAACTTGAAAAAAATATTATCTTTGACACAAAATTTTAGATAGGCCTATTGACATACCAGTTTTCTTCTTGCTACTAAATAATTATATGTTACTTGCAGTGACTTTTGTTTTTTAATGTATTTCTAGTGAAGCATCTTTACTTCTTCCTAATTAAAAAATAGAATACAATTTGATGAATTTTGACAAGTGTGTATGTAGGTATAACCCCACTCAAAAGCTTAAGGATCTAATAATAAAGTAATTTAATAATAAACCAAACCACCTCTCCCTTCCTATATTAAGAGTGCAGAACTGGGATTATATAAAATTCTTGCCAAATCTAGAATAACATTTTACTGGGCACTGTGGGGTTATAGACTACATATGCTAAAATTTAAAATTAGAAATGAGAGTGGGTATCTAAAAAGCAAAGACATGTAACTCAGAAACAGTAGAAAAAATTATATTGGGTTGCAACAAAAAATAGGTAAGGAATAAAAAGATCTTCAAAGAGATGATGTTTAAAAAACATCTTTATCACTGAGTATTGAGCCAATAGTTTCTATTATTGAGCCTGTGTTTATTTACTTCTTATAAAAACCCTACAAGGCAGCTATTTTTTTTCTTTCACCGATTGGGTCTGAGACTTAAAGAGGTTGAATAATTTTCCTAGTGTAATACAGCCACTGACTGGAAGGACTCTGCCCTCCTAACTCCAGTAGTCTATTAAATCAGGAAGAAAATCATCAAGATGGAATATTTATATCCCAGAGGGATGATGAAGTTTGAGAGGAGAATAATAGATTGGAACAAAGAAGAAGAGAAGAAACATAGATGGACAGTTTATTTCCAAAAGGAGGGAACCAAAGGAGACTGCATTCAGTAATTTGGAGTCTTGTAACTAAAGCGACATGTGAAGACGAAAAACAGAATGATAGCAAAATAGTAGGAAATAGGTGAAACAAAGAACAACTTGGAAAGGAAAAAAAAATCGAGAAAGAAGTCAATGGCCCCAACAATCCACCAGTAGTCCTCAGCAAATTAGAATTTCCTGGGAAGCTTTTAAAAAAATGTCCTCAGTATGAATGCCATTTTTCATTAATGAATAAATTCACCATCATTTGTTATAGAGGGCATGCCAATCATAGGCAGTGGAATATTATTCATCCTCATTCCTCGTCTTTTGTTGAAACTCCAGCTGGATTTATCTTTCAGGATAAGGGGGAATTATTTGTTAATGCCACTTTCTACGTGTAAAAAAAAAAGTCATCTCCTTTTCTAAGCATAAAATATGATTCTCTGAATTTTGTGCTCACATTGCCATTAGCAGCAGGAGAACTTATTAAAATGGTGTTTTTCTTGTGTGTTATTCAGATTTTTTGGTTGTTGTTCCACATACATAAAACTCTCAGTGGATGCCATTCTTTGGCATGTCT